TTTTCTTCACGAAAAAGAAACTCGAGGACGCAGGGGAAGTGGAAGGCCGTATGTATCCTTGTCTCAGAGATTCGTCTATGTAAATCTCCATAGCTTTCTTCTCCTCCTGAGACAGAGGATACACATGGCTCCGTGGGAGCGCAGCTCCTGCCTGGAGGTCTATCGCACAATCCCCCTGCCTATGGGGTGGCAACCGCGTCGCCCTCGCCTTACTAAACGCAATAGCCAAATCCCCATATTCAGGTGGAACGGGCAATGCGGGCACCTGGTTTGGACTCTCCACCGAGGTAGCCCCTACGGAAACGCCCAAACATCTACCCCCACACTGAGCAGACCACTCCATCAGAGCCCTCTCCTGCCACGAAATCGCTGGGTTATGGGTACTCAACCAGGGCATGCCCAGCACCACCGGATACGCAGGAGAATCAACCAGGAACAGCTGAATCATCTCCTGATGATCCCCCTGCGCACACATCCTAAGTGGCGCTGTGACCTCCCTGATCAAGCCCGTACCCAACGGACGACTATCTAGGGCATGAACGGGGAAAGGAACATCAACAGGAGTAAGGGGAATCCCTAACGCTAAACAAAACTTTTTATCAATAAAATTCCCAGCCGCGCCTGAATCTACCAGCGCCTTATGCTGGGAATGAGGTGCTACCTGTGGAAAACTGACAGGTATACAAAAATGGGCAACAGTGAGCTCTGGGTGAGTGGGGCGCCTACTCACCTGGAGGGAATCCCCAGTGCGGGACCTGTCGTCATCTCCCCTAGGAGGCCATCCCCAGCACCTAGCCGCGGTGTGTCCTCCCCGACCACAGTTGGTGCAGTGGATGGACCCCCTAGCCTGCCGACTCCTCCTTTCTCTAGCGCCAGCGCCCCCGAGCTCCATAGGACACGGCTCGGAGGCGCTGGAGGGTGAAATGGACGGACCCTCCGCAGGACGTCCACGGGTAGCCAGCAGGTGATCCAGCCTGATGGACATGTCGACCAGCTGGTCGAAAGTGAGGCTGGTGTCCCTACAAGCAAGCTCCCGACGGACGTCCTCTCGCAGGCTACATCTGTATAAATCGATGAGGGCCCGATCATTCCACCCTGCATCTGCCGCTAGAGTACGGAATTCAAGAGCGAATTCCTGGGCACTCCTCCTCCCCTGCCGGAGGAAGACCAGACGCTCCCCCCGCCGCTTTGCCCTCCGGGGGATGGTCAAACACCGCCCTGAAGCGGCGGGAGAACTCGTCGTATGTAATCGTCGTGGCGTCGATCTTCCTCCACTCCGCGTTGGCCCACTCCAACGCTTTACCGGCCAGGCAGGAGATCAGGGCGGACACGCTCTCATGCCCCGAAGGGGCCGGGTGCACTGTGGCCAGGTATAACTCCACCTGGAGTAGAAATCCCTGACACCCAGCCGCGGTCCCGTCGTAGGCCCTCGGGAGAGATAGTCGGACTCCTCGAGGTTCCGGCGCTGGAATGAGTGGGCTGGCCGATGGTGCTGGCAGGGAGGGAGGTGGTGGAGGCGTACCCCAGCCTCGGATGGTGGAAATCACCTCCTGCAGGGCGGTCCCCATCTGCTGGATCTGCTCTCGTTGGTCCCGAACCTGGGCCTCCAGTCTCGTCTGAGCTGCTTCGGCTCCTGCTGATTCCATTGATGGTGTGTAATTCTGTCAGGCGTGCGGTAGGTGTAATAGTGGAATCAAACGCAGGACTCAGAACGATATTCCCAAAGGCTTGTATTAGGCCAAACCAAGGCAAAAGGAAACTTTGCCCGGAGGCAACAATTACGCACGAAGGCGAAAAGAAACTGCGCACAAACAGGTGCGACAAAATAGTAACCGCGCACAAACAGGTGCGACAAAATAGTACCACGCACAAACAGGTGCGGAAAATACTCCAGTATAATGGAGAGAAGCTCAACCGAGCAATACACACAACTGACGGAAAATCAATTACACACAACACTAGACAAACACAACGAGAAACTTATAGGACACTAATTACGCCAAAACAGAAACAGGTGTGAAAAACAAACAGACCAAAGCAAACGAACAAGAAACAAACAGCGGTGGCAGCTAGAATTCCGGAGACGACGAACGCCGAAACCTGCCCGAACAAGGGAGAGAGGCAGCCTCGGCCGAAACCGTGACAGTTTTCCCAGGATTGAGGGAAATCCCCTACAGTATCAGGAAGATATGAGCAATTAAGAAGCAAGGGACAGTCTCAAAAATAAATAAGGAATGGCAATTGGATGATAAATTACCAATATTACCTAAGTGATTGTTTAGGTAGGTGGTAATATTGACACATGGGTAAAACATGTGTCAAGAGGGGGATGATAGTAGATGGTAGGATTAAATAATAAATATATTTGAAGGAAAGGACAAAATACTTTTAAAAAACAATTTTTTAGATACAGTCTAGAAAGAGAATACTGATGTGAACGGTATGATTAGAGAGGGGTTAAGGAAAACACACAGGAGAGCAGGAAGAAATGGGGTACAAGGTCTACCGATAGTATTAATGACGATCAGGAGAACTCCAGATAAAGAAGAATTATTGCCATTGGAGAAGGGATTTGGTAGACCATACAGAATACCCGGGTTGGGAGGACCGGAGCAGTCAGAAATAGAAATTGAGAGCTGAACACGTGTGAAGGTAGTTTATTAACCACACCCGTATGTCAGAGGTTTTGTGCCCCACAGGTGAACTAAAGGAGTAGGTGACCCACTCTATCTAACCAGGTGACTGGTGAGGATCCAGTCCCTAAAGAAGATAAGCTGGAAGCAGGCCTGTTGGGAAGGGCCCTATCAGGTTATATTGGTCACTGCCTTTGCCATTAGAATAGCAGAAAGAGCAACCTGGGTCCACGTTACCCACTGCAAAAAGGTAAGAACACATGCAAGCACCACTGAACACACGCAGAGTTAGAGAGAAGAACTGGACCAATAGGGTCTGGGGATCACCTCTGTTAATGAAGATCTCCTACCCCGACCTATCATCACTGTAGTGTGTTCTCAGGGTGTGAGTATGGGGTAGTACCAAGCAGAAAGACTGAGGACAGGAGAGGGTTGGCGGTTTTGGGGAATATGGGTGACTTGAGCTGCATCATAGTCTCGGCAATGGTCTTGATATGTCAAGATCCACCACCAATTACGCTATGCCCTTACCTTTGTTAAGAAGTAAAAGAGAAGAGAAGCAACCCGACATACTGACCGTCAAGGACGAGTGGCCTACAAAATGGGAGTCAGAGAAGGGCAGACTGTCAGATTCAAAATAAGGGTTAGGGACGTAGCCAATGGGTGGGGTACATGTCAATAAGCAAATTGGGATTATAAAATCCCATTATATTCGTGTTCGGCCCCACGGCGGATTGTTCCTAGACTCAAGTGTTTAAACACACTTGGGGACGGGGATATGAGACCGGGCGGGACTGAACATCCAGATGGGGGGTAAAGAGAAACAAAGACATCACCAATTATCAATTGGAGATAGTAGTAATGTGACGGACTTAAGTTTGGAAGCACAGGAGAGAATTCTAAACCTTACAGCCCCTGTAACCGATGTGTGGTGGGCGTGTGCCAGTAAAGGCAGTATAAGGCAGAGAATGCCAAAAGGGTGGCTAGATACATGCACCCTGGTTCTACTGGTTCTGCTAGTTAGAATTAGTCACCAGGAACCAAGGATTAAACAGATGTAGGAGGAGTTTTAACAAGAAGGAGAATAGCCCTATTTAGATGGATGCGATTGGGATACCAAGGGGGGTATCGGATGGATACCGAGCTATGAAACAATTAGGGGAATGGTTTACTACCACGTTCTTTTGGTGGGTGACAAACAAAATTGTGGATTGGATTAATTATATCTATTACGACCAACAACGATTTATTGGCTAAACTAGGGATGCAGCAAAAGGGATCTCTGAACAATTATCTGCCATCTCACTCATGACTTAGTAAAAGAGGTTGGCTCTAGATCAGGCAGAAAGGGGTGGTGTCTATAGAATGGTAAGCCATTGTTGCACATTTATCCCTAACAATACCAGTCCTGACGGGAGTATCTCTAAAGCCCTAGTTGGTTTAGATAAACTATCAGCTGAAATGAAGAGCATGGCTGGAGTGGAGGAAACCGGACTGTTTTCTTGGTTGGGTGAGTGGTTTGGTAAGTATGCTGCACTGGTGGTTACTGGATTTCTGACCCTAATCGTTATGTTTTTAATTTTGATGTGCTGTGCTGCCTGTATTATCCCTTGTCTAAGAAAGTCTGTTACAGATGTCGTGCACGCTGCTGGTATGATGCCTTTGCTGGAGGCACAATAAGGAGATGCAGACACTGAGTCTAACTGTCGGAGGAAACTGGGGTTGACAAAAGATGAACCTTGGTTTGCTATTGGTGAGGTGGTGGAGTGACACCCTAGTGGGTGTCTAAAGGGGGAATCAAAATTCCCTGTTTGTGTTTTTATGTTTTATAAATCCATTTAAACTATTGTGAATGTTTGTCTTTCCTTATGTGAAGGTTTGAAGTTCCTGGGTGGCTGGTAGCCAACCTAGTAAAAGTTAGGTGTAGATGGAAGGACTGAAGGGTTTTTTATTATCATTATTGCCTATTAATAAAAGTGTGATTATTACTGAAATTTCTTATTTTGGGTTCACACCCAGCGGGTGTGAAAAGGGGGGATTGTTGGGATCTATTTTCTTATAATTAGATGTGATGCCTAGCTTAAAAAGAACGTAGGTTTGTGCTGTACTGATATAGATTGTTTAACATAACAAGCTGTGACTAATGTGAGGAACCATTAGGGGAGAGGCTGAGATAGACTTGTGACACACACACTGCCTCTTTGTTAAACCGCTCAAGGACATGTGTACTGCAACAATGAAGAAGAGGAAACTATGTCTGAGGTTGCTGACTCTCGAGACAAGTTGCAAAAAACAACTAATGCCCGGCAACAGTGAAGCGCCAAGGGGCTGGGACCAGCCTGTGCGCCAACGATAGGCTGCGTAAGTTTAAACCACGCTCAGCCTCTACTCTGACAGGCCCGCTTTGAACGGGAACTATCTCTGTCAGAGTATTACAATAATAACTTTGGGTTGGGACAGTTAGTTCTCTGTTTTGCCCTGCGAGGTGTTACAGTGAACCCGTATATACGAAAATTGCATTTACCATTTAATCGCTTGACTAATTATATTAATAAAAAAGCAGAGAATATATTCAGTGACTTAGTGTTAAATTCTGTTCTGATACCAGATTTGAATTACGCAACTTAACACTAATGAGACGGATTGTCATGCCAGTTAATGTGTTATGTTGTGTTCTGTAATTAAAGGTGAAGTTTGCACACAGTTCTGCAGTCTTAATGAGACTGACATAAGTGTATGTGATACCAAAGAGCCTGAATTACCCAAGCATTAGCCCTTTATTTTTTTAAGTACTGTAAAAGCCATAACACAAAGCCACAACACAAATAAGAATGTACCATATTCTTTAGCCACAAGAACCATAAAGCTAACAAATATAAGCAGTCGCCAGCTCTGCTACATTGGGTTAAAATGTTAACGTTAAACTTTAAACCTTGACAGACTGAGTACCATGGCCTCTGAGCCAGACTCCCACATGCTTCCTATTGTGTTCACGAGTTGGCATAGACTGCATCGTCTCCACCAACACACTCGTATGGGTCGCCATCCTCTTCAGCCTACAGGAAACCAGATCAGAGATACCGTATCATCATCATCATCATCAACAACACCTCTGTAGTTTTTTTATATCCTTTGTATTTAGTGCAAAGTTCTTCTCAGATCTCAGATATCTACTGTAAATGTCTGCAGTAGGCCTACAGTACATACCTCCATGTTGCCATATAGGTGATCGTTGGTGTAGTAGTTTGTGTGGATTTCACTGCTGGAGTCTTTCTGCTCTTTCCTGTGGATAGAGTTAGGGTCACTATGTGCTGCATTCTCTTTATATGACACAACAAGAGTGAATGTAGGCTAATGGTCTTTTGCAACTCAGCAGGATGTATACATTATGATCACAGATAGAACAGCCTGTAGAAAAATACCTTGATGTTGAGGGATCTAAAAAAGCACCCTTGGCTGTATCCATGTCCTGCTTGCTGGTTACTGGCTGGTCACTACGACGACTCCTACAGTTGAGAAAAATAATGCGAAGTTATCAAAACAGAACAAAACAGCTAAAAACAAATACAAATCCATGTAACTCCCTCCAACAAAAAAAAAGAGCAACTTACCCCTTCTTGGTCAACAGGCAAGCTGACATGGGAATTAGTATTACTACCACCACTAATGCAGCAATACCAATTGAAACGTACAGCATCAACATCTTATCTGTCCAAAAACAAATAAATATGATTTATTAATGTATCCATAATATCCTTTATGATGTAAATATAGTATATAATACTTCATTTATGATACACTTTTCCCCACTGTTTCCCTTACCATTTGTGGACACAGTGAAGGACAAGGTGGCATTGCCCTGTGTGTTGCTGGCATTGCAGTGGATGGTCTCTAAGAAGCCTAGTGCCCTCTGTAGGGTCACCATGGTAACTGACCCATGCCTCTCCACCCTGGTACTGGGCAGGGGTCCTGCTGGAAGAGACCACTCCACAGTGCCGGGGGGCTCCGAATCCACAATGCACAGACAGGTTACCATGGAGATGTCTAATGTGCATGCAGAGCCCACTTTGATCTCAGGGGGGTCTGGGATGAGAATGATAAACAGTTTGGTTTTAACTGAACATGTAGTGCTGCATGCTGAAGAGTATTGTCTTCATATTATATACACAGAAAGACATGATCCTTATTGACAGAACATCGGCATCTACTTACACTCTACATTGAGTTTCAGTGGGCTGGATTGGCCTTGTCCCTCTGTGTTGATGGCAGTGCAGAAGAGGGCTTCAGTGAGTCTGGTCACATTCTCCAGTGTGATGGTAGGTCCTGTGGTGGGCAGAGGCCCTCTGCTGTTGTGCCAGCGGTAGCTGTGGGCAGCAGGGTTACTATCACTGGAGCATCTCAGCTCTACAGAGTCTCCCTCCTTCACACTGGACACTCCCTCAACCTTCACATCCACTGGAGCATCTATAAATATCAACATTAGTAAGAATGATATTACAATGTAATACAGATCTTAGGACAGATTCAGTGTATCAAACACATGCTAAATCTATTTCAATTTAAAAAGTGAAGTATGCCAAATCCAGGCTCTGGACAAAGTTCATGATTCTTTTTCAAATTAGTTCAATTTAATGTATTGTTTCACTTTTGTCATATGCACAGAAGCATTCTGTTTTCACAGAAATCAAAGTGTAAATCTTCCAGTGTTATTAACACACAGGTGTGGTCCACTTACATTTGACATTGAGTATTTTGGACCTTTTCACTGTCTTCCCTCCCATGTACGCTGCTGTGCAGACAAGAGACTTGTTGTGATCAGTGATACTGGGGGTAAAGGTCAGGGATGATGTCACTTCCCACTGGCCGTTGGTCAGCTGCTGTGATTGGACACTGGGTGTTCCGGAGTGGCTCCAGGTGAGGAGAGGGGGATCAGATGGGCATGAGTGAGACACAGAGCAGGAGGCAGATACCTCCTCCTCCACCTTCACCTCCTCCCTCACTGACAGAGAGGGGGGGTCTGGAGAGCCTGAAATCAGCAAAGAGAAGAGAACAGTTATTGCAGTTCTTTTGAGGTATGCATCCACTAGTTCTTGAGTCTGTCCTTTCAGCACTATAATTGTAATCTAGAAGAAGCTATAGCTATCATTAGGGTAAATAATTGGATACTGTATTACATAAATTGAAATTCTCCTTGTCAATTCTTCCCAAGGGAACTTACTGCTCACTGCAATGGAGACTGTGTCACGTATGTAGGAATACTTGTCATGGTCTTCGATTTCAATCCTGAAATAAAAGGGTCCTTTGTCATTGCGATGGAGGGGGTCGATTCTGAGTGAGCAGTTCTTCTGCCGGAGGTCTCCCACCAGCTCTGTACGACCCTTGTAGTCTGTGAATACTTTGGAACTGTCTGGGTGGTATATAACATCATTGGTGTCTTTGAACCAGATGCCAGTGAATACAGAGGGCTTCTCCTCTGATTCTGGGTAGTTGAATGAGCAGGGAATCACAATGCACGAGCCCTGCAGGCCGGACACTGAGCTGGGCACATCAGCAGTCCATGACGAGGCATCAACTCCCATCACTCAAATCGCAGTGGGGGAAATGTTAGTAAGAGGTGTTGGACACAGTCAAGGAATATAAGTATAAGAAATTTAATCCCTGATCTTTCTTTGTCTAGTCACAGGGGTTGATTTGAACAAATCAAGATGCCATTTTATTGTTCATTTTGTTCTATTAATATTTGCCTTACTAGCACCTCAAGGTTTTTTTTTATCTCCCCTGCACATGCACTTTTCACTTCTCTTTTTAACTCTCCTCACATTGTTTTGTATTTTCTTGTTTAAAACTGAATAAATAAATAATAAATAAATACAATATTTTATACTGTATACATCTATAATTGTGTCCTACCTCCAAGCCAAATGCAATGAATAAGAAAAGGCCACGGTAATGTTTCACTCCGCATCCCCTCCTCTTTGTACAGGACATGAGGGAATAAGAAACATTTGATTATCACTAGAATGTTAGCATTGCATATTATACTTTTACTGTCTAAAAGACAATCACTTACTTGCTTAGCAGGATCTTTCTTTCTCTTGTCAGATAACCACTCTCCTTCAGAGACTAATGGCATTGACATATAAAGGAAATATTACCATCCTGCTCACACTTCCCATTTCACATATAACGTGATTTCTTTATTTTTGCTATCAGGACTTCCCATATTTTGTCTCTGACTGATAGTGGGGTGATTGAACTCTTCCCTTGAGGGAAGCATTAAATGTAATGTTTTTGAGAATATTTATTTTGACTATGGTTTCCACATTGCAAAATTCAAAGGTCTTCAGAAGCTAAAGGTGAAATCTCTTGAAATTAGTATAAATTCTTATAAGATTGTTACTGTACCATTCCGCCACATTAACTTTAGTCAGGGCTATTACTCATACTCAGTCAGTAGCACTAAAACCACATTATTAAATATAACTTTTTGTCATATGCATTGCAATTCACAATTTCCTTCAAACAATGTACTTGTGATCAAGTCTTTCACATTCTGTATCATGATCTGTGCTGTGAACATTATAGATGTGACGATAATCACGTCTATTATAGGGATTGGATGAAGCTCAGTGTTAAATTCCAATCTCCCTATCACCATAACTAAGCCAATATGACACCAATCTCAGAAAGTTCTCAATTAATGAACTATATTGGAGGTACTCAAAACACATCTCAACAAAAAAGGGTGGGAAAAGTATGAATTAGGCTGTTTGAGAAGGTTTGAATCCTAAGCAAACTGCCTACACATAGTTTGAAGTATAATAGACCCTTTTTCAGCACACAACACACTGACGTCACGCACGGATGTGCGCGACGTGGATTTATGTTTTGATTACTTCTAAACAAAATTACTGTTTGGGGTTCTCATACGCTTACAATGATGCTTTGATTCATGCTTGAACATTTGCTACGATTATTTTTGGTTGTGATCTTTGTAAAATAACTATTTTGAATGCAGCAGTTGTTAGCTAGAAGGCTAACGCTCATTGATATTGGCTGTAGCAAAAGCTAGCCAAAAAGCCATTTTACTGGTTGAAGTTGAAGTGTTTTTTAAGTATAATGCAGTTGATTTGCGATGATGACAAAACAATATATTAAGCAGGACATTCACACGAGCCTTAAAATCCAACTATAATCCAAAAGTAGTGTGAAATGTATTGATAAGCAATATGTAAATAGAGGCTTTCTTTTGCTGGCGTTCTATAAGATCTCCCCCTTGTTCTGTCACCAACTTGCGCGCATCTTCCTCGTGTTTGTAAACACAGAAAGGGGTCTATACCAACATACACTACATTACCAAAAGTATGTGGACACCTGCTCGTCAAATATCTCATTCCAAAATCATGGGCATTAATATGGAGTTGGTTCAACATAGAGCTCCCCTCCCTCGCTTGTCATGTATGACATTTCTGCTCAAGTTGAGCAGTGACTCAGTCAGGAAGTAACAAGTGGTCTAAATGTAGGACCTCATACATAGATAATGGTTATAGCCAGGGGCGCAACTTTCACTGGGGACGGGGGGGACATGTCCCCCCCTGTAAGGGTTGGTGTGAGGTGTGACCCAGGTGCAGTGCAGGATATACAGTAGGCAGTAGGCAGAGATGGTGAAACAAGAATCTTTACTGGTGGTCCCGAAGCCAGAATACAAAATAACGGACTTATCACGATAAAAGAAAGGCGGAGCAAATAAGTCTCCAAAAACCGGCTGACAGCCCAAATACGAAATACTAACTACGACTGAAACAAACACTTCTCAAGTACCTGTACATGCAGTGGGGAGAACAAGTATTTGATACACTGCTGATTTTGCAGGTTTTCCTATTTACAAAGCATGTAGAGGTCTGTAATTTTTATCATAGGTACACTTCAACTGTGAGAGACGGAATCTAAAACAAAAATCCAGAAAATCACATTGTATGATTTTTTAGTAATTAATTTGCATTTTATTGCATGACATAAGTATTTGATCACCTACCAACCAGTAAGAATTCCGTCTCTCACAGACCTGTTAGTTTTTCTTTAAGAAGCCTTCCTGTTCTCCACTCATTACCTGTATTAACTGCACCTGTTTGAACTCGTTACCTGTATAAAAGACACCTGTCCACACACTCAATCAAACAGACTCCAACCTCTCCACAATGGCCAAGACCAGAGAGCTGTGTAAGGACATCAGGGATACAATTGTAGACCTGCACAAGGCTGGGATGGGCTACAGGACAATAGGCAAGCAGCTTGGTGAGAAGGCAACAACTGTTGGCGCAATTATTAGAAAATGGAAGAAGTTCAAGATGCGGTCAATCACCCTTGGTCTGGGGCTCCATGCAAGATCTCACCTCGTGGGGCATCAATGATCATGAGGAAGGCTAGGGATCAGCCCAGAACTACACGGCAGGACCTGGTCAATGACCTGAAGAGAGCTGGGACCACAGTCTCAAAGAAAACCATTAGTAACACACTACGCCGTCATGGATTAAAATCCTGCAGCGCACGCAAGGTCCCCCTGCTCAAGCCAGCGCAAGTCCAGGCCCGTCTGAAGTTTGCCAATGACCATCTGGATGATCCAGAGGAGGAATGGGAGAAGGTCATGTGGTCTGATGAGACAAAAATATAGCTTTTTGGTCTAAACTCCACTCGCCGTGTTTGGAGGAAGAAGAAGGATGAGTACAACCCCAAGAACACCATTCCAACCGTGAAGCATGGAGGTGGAAACATAATTCTTTGGGGATGCTTTTCTGCAAAGGGGACAGGACGACTGCACCGTATTGAGGGGAGGATGGATGGGTCCATGTATCGCGAGATCTTGGCCAACAACCTCCTTCCCTCAGTAAGAGCATTGAAGATGGGTCGTGGCTGGGTCTTCCAGCATGACAATGACCCGAAACACACAGCCAGGGCAACTAAGGAGTGGCTCCGTAAGAAGCATCTCAAGGTCCTGGAGTGGCCTAGCCAGTCTCCAGACCTGAACCCAATAGAAAATCTTTGGAGGGAGCTGAAAGTCCGTATTGCCCAGCGACAGCCCCGAAACCTGAAGGATCTGGAGAATGTCTGTATGGTGGAGTGGGCCAAAATCCCTGCTGCAGTGTGTGCAAACCTGGTCAAGACCTACAGGAAACGTATGATCTCTGTAATTGCAAACAAAGGTTTCTGTACCAAATATTAAGTTCTGCTTTTCTGATGTATCAAATACTTATGTCATGCAATAAAATGCAAATTCATTACTTAAAAATCATACAATGTGATTTTCTCGATTTTTGTTTTAGATTCCGTCTCTCACAGTTGAAGTGTACCTATGATAAAAATGACAGACCTCTACATGCTTTGTATGTAGGAAAGCCTGCAAAATTGGCAGTGTATCAAATACTTGTTCTCCCCACTGTATGTATATATATATATATATATATATATATATATATATATATATATATATATATATATATATATATGGCTATAGCCATACTATTTTGACATTTTAAAAAAATATTATCAAAATGCAATTTAACTGTAGGCTATAGCCTAAATAGTCCTCTTACCTTTGGGGAGAAGCACGCTCACGAGGATGGTTACAATAAGGTGCATTTTGACTTGGAGCTGAAGGAGGTGAAATGATATAGGGTGTGTCGAGTTACAGCATTTATCTGTGCTCATTTAGAGGTGTGGTATGTTTGTTGAGAAGCATCCACACTCACTCACAGAGCTATTGAAATCCAATGTGTTCAATAATGGAGCTTTGAATAGTGTTCTGTTGCAACACATACTATTTGTAGAATGTGACAACAATTTGTTTTCTGTGGTCTTACAGCCTGGAATTAAAATGCATTCACTTTTTTTTCACTGCTCAGTGCTCTGCAAAACCTTCACAATTTCCAAATAAAAAATAAATGTCAAAAAATAGAATTTTCTTTTTGGATAGGCCTCCACCAACTTTGCACACATCTTTCAAAATTGCTCAAAGTCAGTCAAGTTGTTTGCAGATCATTGCAGTCAAAAATGTGACAGGCCCATTGTGAATATGATTTGTATTCCTTTTTATTTATGCTGTTGTATTTACTGTTATTAAATCTGTCTTTTGTTATTGGCGATGAGAAATAATAACAGCAAATAAAACAATTTAAAGGAGTTAATTCCTAGTCACAATTCGCTATAGGTGACTCGGGAGTTGCCACTGTCTTGTCTTGGTAAGAAACTGTTTTCTTTCAATAAGAAAGTGTGGATTTGGACTTGTTTTGTGTTATTGTCCTGCTAAAAGGAGAATTTTTCTCCCAGTGTCAGGTCTCAAGCAGACTGAAGCAGGCCTAAAGGCGTCAGTATGCTTCAGATCGTTTGGCGGCTAGGCAAAGTCGGCTCGGTGAACCGAATGAGTGTGCTTGCAAACTCCAAAACCTTCGCTTGAAAAAACAAGAAAGAAGCGGCAATAGTACTGTTTGTCCATTTTGAGACACGGTAGTCAGAATTGATCTAATATAACTCAAGAAATCTGTAATTAATGTAACTTGTTTCAGAAAACTAGGTGTGTCGCACATCACTACTTCACAGGTATTTGAACTTAATTTGTATTTTTTTAATCAAAATGCGTTTTTTTGGCAGAAATGCCATCTGGAACATGTAAACTTTCATGTGCCTTAAAAACAAACTTGTGTGCCATCTGTAAATACGAATAAAATGGTTAAATTACCAGCCTAGTTGGTTTAGCCACGGGAAAAGACAGGAACCTTCCCGCTAGCCATGATTGGCTGAGATAATGGATGGGCTGGACATGCCGAGAGATGAGTTTGGATTGGTCTGCCATGTAGCACGCTTCTGTCTATAACATGAGCTGCTTAGTATGTGTAAGTCATCTTTTATAAAGCGTTTTTTTTTTTAAGATATCACGAAGAACTGCACATGTGTTGCTAAGGTTCTCCACTTTCTGGTGGACCGAGTTTTGATATCAGTGGAATTCCCGGTGGAAGCAGAGTATGATAGTTAAGGAGATGGAGAAAAATCTGGCGTTTGAATGCAAATGCGGAGGGAGTCGAAAAGAGAACACAGAAGGCTGTTCTATAAAACACCTGTCAGGATTACATCTTCAAAGTAAGGGCAACCATGGCAGCCGTGACAGAGAGGGAAAAGCGTCCATC